GTGTTTCTGTTTGTCGTAAAGAGGGTTTAGAGTTTGAACCAGGAGGTTTTATGGTAATTGGATGAATATGGTTTCTTCTATTGAATGAGTGAAGTTATCAGTGGAGAAGGTGGGAGCAGAAGATGGAAAGCTTGGTGTTGCTACGGTCGGTTTCTAGGGCTTTGCGCGGGCTGTTATTGATGACATACTGTTATTTACAAGTCCACAGCTCAATTTCAGGAAATATTCCTGTTGTTAGGGAGTCATCACTTTCCACCAGGCTCAGACACACTCAAAGACCCCGCTTCCGAGGCCCCTCGGCACCAAAAAGCCAATCCAAGGCAAATTCCTGGGACCACACTCAGCCGCAGATTCCTCTCTCTCCACCCCGTCTGCCCACAGTGCTGGCCCAATCGACCCAGGCCGTGAATGGCTCGGGAGTTTGTCTGTGATACCACCCACCTGCAGCACCAAAGATGCATGTGATTTCAGCTGTGCTGGAGTCGGGAGAGTGCCTGCTAGTAATCTGTGGTCCCGATATCAGTGACAAAGAGAAGCACAGACCTCTCAATGTCTCCTACGCTGACCCAAGCCCACTCAATGACCCACTGAGGGAGGAGCGAGCTCACCCTCCTGGAGCACCAGTGAGCTCTCCGCTTGGGTTTCAGTGGTGCTGGGTGCGTCCATTTGTACCTACCTGACCCAAGTACCAGTAAAAGCAGGTGCTGGAGGTAGATCCTTGGGGTGTTTGCTGGGATGTTGGTGTGGTCACTGGTATGCTGATATAGGGTGTCTTCTTCCTTGGCTCACAGAGATCTCAGGTGGCCACCCTCGCCCAGCAGTCAGTGTCTGCCCCAGGGAAGTTTCCAATGGCCTCTCTCACCTGCCTGTCCATCCTCCACTGGGTAGATCTTCCTTAAATAATCTCCCTGTGCCTTTCCTCTAATTCTGCTCTCTGTGTTTGGTGCACTCTGATTCAGTGAGCTGTTCAGAGCACCAAGATCCCTAATTCAAACTGCTGTACCTAGTTTTTCAAGCACTTAAGATGCTAGAGGGAAACAGCATGGTGATTACTGACAAGACTCCATTTTGAATCCTGATACTGGGATCTTGCTGTCTTCCTATTTTGTGTTGTACTACGGGTTTAAAGCAGTAGTGTGTTTCGATGAAAGATTCTCATGCATGTGTTTTATTTCATTTAGACAACTGTTTAAGTTGTGTAATGTGAAGAGTGGCTGAAAACGAGAATGAAAACTAGTAAAATTAAGTGCTGTGCCTGTGTGCGTCATTATATGTGTTTTGAAATCTTTCCATGTTTTAAAATTTTTATTGAGGCTTAAACTATTTTCTTATTGTACAGAGTAAACCTCATTTCTTAGAATCCGTTTTTCTTTCTGTTTTATCATAGGTGGAAAAACCAGCCAATTGAATCTCCAGAACACTGCCACGAAAGCAATTATTCAAGGTCTTATGCCGGATCAGAATTACACAGTTCAAATTATTGCATACAACAAGGACAAAGAAAGCAAACCCGCTGAAGGCCAATTCAGAAGTAGGTGTTTCAGGTCTTCAAGTGCCACTGTGGGGCTCTGCCTCAGGATGGAGTCTGATTCTGTGGGCTGTAGCTTAAGGGCTTTATATTGTAGATTCTTTTGATTAGAAGAGATCTTAAGAGACACTCAGTCCAGTGTCAGGCACTGTTCTAGGCACAGGGCACATGACATTGGACAGAACAGCCCAGAGCCCTGTCCCTGTGAACATTACAGTCTAGTGACCACAGAGACTGCAGAAATTCCCTTTCCCTCTACTTTGGGGAGGATGAAGTTTCGTGTATCATGCATGAGAAAAGAAAGGGCCTGTCCTGCTTTGGTCTACTTCATCATTCCAAGAGACTCGTTAGAAAACAAAACAACACGACTTCTTATTATGGAAAATGTTAAACATAATAAAAATATAAACAGAACAGTATCATGAACCCCACCCAGCTTCAGCCATTATCCACTCATGGCCAGGTTTGTTTCCTTCATAGCCCTACGTCCTACTTCATATTATTTTGAAGCAATCCCTAGACATAATTTCAAAGAGATTTTTTCCTATTTTAAATAACACCTTTTAAAATCCTGACATTAAGATTTATCCACAAATCTGTGGATAGCAATTATCTATCTGGATTTTCTCTTCTAACCGTCCCTACCCCTGCTGCTTTCCTGTTTTTTTCCTCCTCTCTTGAGTAATGTTTTGTGAGACATACTTTGTGACTTTTAAAAATTTAAAAATCTTTGTTAACCTGCTACTTCTTAAAACTTCTGAACAAAGACATTTGGTAAATCCACCTGTCAGCAGGACATACAGATGTTTTAAATGTTACAAGATTTTGAGACACACAGTCTCACAAATGGTGGAAGCTCTGGAAATGGTTTTTATGTTATTTTCAGTATAAACCAGCCTTCTGTCTCACTCTGTTGGCACCGCACTTCAGTTTCTGGCCTCCACCATTCCTACATGAGTGAATGAAATAACTTTTTTTTAAAGTTTGTGAGAAGCAGTAAAAGGGATGGTGATTCACTTTACTTTAGTTTGAAGGTATTGTGATTGATTATCTCAAAGATTCCACTGACTGAGCTCCGTATGGAACCCCAAGGAGCCTTAAAATGTTTTCCCAACAGCTACTCACTCAAAGCACTTAAAAGGAAACACAGTTCTGCTTGATTGGCTCTACTGAAACAGTCTTAGGAAACAGTCTAACTGATTTGTTAGAGTATACATAAGCACACTATTTTTGTTAACTATCAATTGTTTTTATTAGCAGGGTAGAAGGGATAGTTTTGCAAGAATGAACTGAAGATAAACTTTGTTTGGATGGCTTCCTTTTCCAATTTGCATTTCATTTTCATCTTTGCTCCCTGGAAGATGGAGCTGGAATTTGGTTTTTCCTCTCTGGGAAATGTTCATGGTTGGAGCCAGGAAAATGGTAGTCAAGGCAAATCCTCTTGCATATATGTTTGCAATTAGCATAAAGCTTTGGATTCTTCATGAGTCCATCTTCTGATACACAGGGCGCATAAGAAACCATCTGTATTTTGAAGATGGGAAGGTGTATCTGATCTCCTGGGTATGATTTCAGATCTGCCAATTGTGTGTGGCTTTGGGCTAGCAACTCATTTGCATCTAGCCTCAGTTTCCTTATCTGCAAATACAGGTGATGATATGTTCCTA